GGCAAAATCATCTAGTTCAAGGAATAGGAACAAAGTGCATAAGGAATTACGCAGACTTCTTTCCACATTGTTTCTTAATCGAAATGACCAATTCCCTTTGAAAATATCTGATATTTAATACTGACTCAGAAAGAAGGCAATTTCATTAAACTATTCTTAAACTCATGCCTTGCCAGTAATAGTAGTTTTCTTGCTACTTAGAAGCTCACAAACCCATTCCCAAAACAAGATTTTGTAATTCAAAATCTATCCATCCAGTGTCTTCTATTTATTACCAATACTCTACTCATTTCCAGTTCAACTTGCCAAAGAAGTGAAATAATCCATATTAGCACACAGGACCTGAAAGATGTTTCATTAATTTCTAGCCATTCTGTAGCAAATTTCTGTAGACATTTGAACTCCTCAACTCACAATTTCATAGAACTTGTGACATCAACACGATAGAAGTGCTCCATCTGAATGCTGGAAATGAGCCACTCTGAGGGGAGCCCCTGGGAACTCTTAAATGTGACAGTCTACCTGAGTCCTCGTCTGTTCCTCAACAGATTATTTTAACCTTTTACAATTGAAAATGACTTTGGAAAAGGACAATGATGTTTAACTGGGTCTTCACATTGCATTTTTTGTTCACTTGTCTATATTTTTTCCTTGAGCCATAACATACTGAATGAGCATGGAATTTCAGAAATAGAAGCCATCAGTACAATTTCTTCTAAATTTTTTTTTCAAAAAAGGAAAATACACATATATATCTCCTCAGTGAATACTACATAACAGAAACCATATTTTGTTTCAGGCTTATTTTTAAGTTGGAGAGAACAGAAAGTCTCAGCTTTGGATAAAAAATTTTTTCATCATAAAATGAGGTTCTAACCTCTAAATCTAAGAAGATCCACATTAATTTCACTTTTTGAACCTGGAGAAACAGCCAAATTTAGGTCTTTTTCCCCCTAGAAGTATGACCCAAGTTGCCCTAACTGACTATTTTTCTATTAAATAATAGTATCCTTTCTTTTGATTGCCTGGAAGGACTGTATATTTTAAAAAGTAAAATATCAAATAATTCAATGTCGTTTCCTTCCTTCCCGACTAAGCTAGATACCACTTCCCCATTATTTCATTATTAATATGAAAAAGTACTGGAACAATTAGAGGAAGTTCATTTATTTACAGTTGAAACATTCTAGCTTTTGCTATAATCCCACTGGCAACATATACCCCCTGACTATCCGATTACAACAGAAAAAGATGCCTACTCTAAGCCCTTTTTAAATGTCATTAATAAACTAGGAAAAACAAGCATGGGTTTTCTTCAGTATTGTCTGAGCAATCTAGACTAGCATCAAAACACAGGTTTTCTATCCTTGAGGCAGGACACATCAGAGCCCTAAGTAAGCTAATAATTTAGCATACTTCCATGAAAACTCAGTATTTGCTGAAAGGGCATTTGTATGAGAAGTGGAACATGGCAGGACCAGAGGGAGTGTGGAGACAGGATTGGTAGGGTCTTTTGACTTATATATTCCAGTCAACACAACAAAGGCCCTACAACTGAGCAGGCCAGATCTTTTTTTTTTTTTTTTTTTAGGAACCAAGGTTTGAACTCAGGCCCTTGTGCTTGTCAGGGAAACGCTTATTCTACTGAGCCATCTCCCCGGCCCTCAGCCAGATGTTCTTAAAAGGCAATTTTTGACCATTTATGAACTCTCAAATATGTCCTTCCCTGTTCCAAGCTGTTAAAGCATTACTTCTAACTGCTTTTAGTAACTGGTGAAAGAAGACTATTGTTTTATGTTGTTTTCTCTATCTTATTGTATTCACAATATTTCTGCACCCTTTACAGAGCCCACTTTTCCTCAGGGACACTGCCCTTGCACTTCTGTAGCATGTATCGAGTGTTTGCAATGTACTAGATACTAGAAATATACAAGTAATTAAAATATATTCACACCCTTAAAAAATTCTCACTTTGGGAAGAGGAAAGAGTGACAATACAATAATACTACCTTATTAAAGATTATACAAGAAAATGGCTGCTATGAATTATTACTTCTGATTGCTGCAGTTTGGAAATGGCTTGAGTGTACCCCACAAAGATTCATGTGTTGGAAGTTTGGTACTTCATGTGGTGGGGTTGAGGTGGTGGAACCTTGAAGAGGAAAGGCCTATTGGAAAGTAATTAGGTGATGGGTTTTGGGGGATACGCTGGTTTAATGCTTACTTCTCAGAGTCCATTAATCTCTTAAGATTGGGAGCTATAAAGTGAAGTCATCTCACACATTTAGCCCTTCTGTACGCAACTAGTTCCAAACTTTGTTTCTCCACTATGATGTGACATAGCCAGGGTACTCTTGCCAGGACTTCAGTGCCATAATGTTTAGATTCTCCAGCTATTAGAATCATGAGGCAAATAAACCTTTTCACTCCGTAAGTTACCCCACATAAGTTATTTTGTTAGAGCAACAGAAAAAGGGCTAAGACATTAGTGAAATGTTCTGTTTCTGTGGGGTTTCTTCTGGTGGGGAGTACCTGGGATTGAACTCAGGACCTTGCACTTGTCAGCCAGGCACTTATGCCACTGAACTATCTCCCCGGTCCATAGTGAAATGTTCTGAATCCTTGGAAATAAGTACCTTCTAATAATACTTTAGTACACTGAATTTTGTAACCATTTGTGAAAAGTTAATTTTTAACTTAGATAAGAGCTAGAATAATGTTTTCATGCTTCCTCATCCCTATGCCTATACTGGGGTGGGGAATTAAGGATGAGGATCATATATTTATGCTAAACCTAACCACAACTTTTTTCTTTGCATATTCTTACCCAAGTGATTTTTTATTAGTACCTATTTGTGATACATGATGAATATATGCATTGTAGAGAGTTTATACATACACACAGCACATTAGTCTTTTTTATTTCCACTCTCTCCTCTTTTTCCCTAGATCCCTTTCCCATTTGCAAAAGGTTTACCTCAACTGATCTTGTCCCTAGAACTTGGTATGTGATACAAGGAAAAGGATGATAGATTCTTACTGAGTTTTCACTATCTGTATAGCTAGCTATACATATCTGATCCAGATGGTTTCTCTCCTTCAAAATAATTGCAAACAAAATTGAAATCATATTCAGGAACTATTCTAGCTGGCTTTTGGTTTCTTTTGGTGTATACTCTTTGACTAAAGCAGTAGCAAAAATTGGATTTAAAATAAGGTACATAGAAAACTTTACTACTAGTACCACATCTTAAACTCTTAATATTTCTGAAACCCCAAGCTGTAGGATTTGCGTAACTGAATGTATTGGTTAGCTAGAGTATTTAAAACAATGAAACAAAAACTTCTAAATAAACTTATTTTGAAGACATCGCTCCATAATGGCTCTCCAGGGGAATTAAAAACATGATAGATCCAGGCAACTGGGACACAATACAAACACAAGTCAATAAATTCCCTAGTTAGAAAAATTCTCACTTATATTACCTATTAATATGAATCTAAAGCTATATAGCTACATATTCTTCTGGTGGAGTATAAAAGAAAACGTCACCATTCCTTGGAAGTGGCTACTCCTGGAGCACAGCAAGCAGGGAAAGAAAATATCGGGCCTGTCTAAAGCACCACGCAAATTTTAATTTTCAAAATTGAGTCTTTCTGATTTCAGGCAATTCCTTGGTAGAACAGAATCCAGGTTATTAGACTACAACATTTCACATAGAACCATTATTAGTTCTGCTATATCCCAGTGATATGACAATCACTCAGTATTTCTACTTGTTAATCTGTTGCTTACCAATAATGCAACTGAATGTCCACGGTTTGAAACACTAGTGGATCTTCATATACTTTTTTTTTTAATGTATGTATTTAGTACAGGGTCTCACTAGGCAGCTCGGACTCCTAGTTTTCATTCTCCCCAGTGCTGGGATTACAGGCATACACTACCAAGCCTGGACTCTGTCGCTGGGGTTGGCACAGCATGCAGGACTGAGGCTCGAACCCTGGTCCCTGAGCTTGCCAAAGTTCATATACATTTTTATAAACTAGTCCACAAATTATCAGTATGTGAGATGGTGCTCTCTTATAGCCACCTTCTCTTGCTCAGAGTCATGCACAATGAAACATAGCTTGAGTGACCAGTTAACTAAGGGCCCCAAGCTTAGGTTGGGAAATGTGCTGTGTTGGGATAAACAGTAATGTATGACCTGTCCTTGAAGGATTGAGAAACGGTGTTTCATGCTGGGACACATCGTTGATTTAAGGGCCTAAAATAAAAAAAGTACTTTAATAACATTACCTTTTAAGAATAAAGATCTCCCAGGCAAAAACTTGTTAGTTTTAGAAACAATCGCATGCCTATTTGTGTTGGTGACTATTTAGTAGGGCCTTCTCCATTCTTAGACTTATTAAAAAGTGTGAGCTGATACTTGTCGGGGTGACTGATAAGGCTGTTGGGAACTGCCCTGTGTGATTCATTCTCACTGCTCAGCACCCCGCAGACCGCTTCTGCCCAGTAGGGCTGCAGGCAGCTAGCGGGGTCCCGGGAAGCCAGGCACTCACGTTTCCTTCCCACACATTTCAACCTTTCACCCAAATTAAAGGTCAACATGGCGGCTCAACAATACGTATTTTAAAAGGCAGTCATCTCAGCCGGCTGCCAAATGCCATCATATGGATACCTCAGGCTTCAACTAAACGCAGGGCCCGAAAGTCTGTGGGTCACTGGATGTTTCCCGCTTTCCCTTCAAAAGCTGCCTTTCCCTTCCCGCCATATTCACTTTCCGGGAGCTCCCCCGCAAGATGCACATTCGCGCGCGCCCGTACAATGTCCCCCCGGAGGCTCACGGATTTACAGCTCCGGGTTTAAATTCCCTCTAACGACAATCGGCACCGCGGGGGTTGCGACATGCCCGCGCGCCACCCTCTCGGGCCTGCCCGCCGGCGGCCAGCTCCAGCCCGCGCGCGCCCACCGCCCGCACGCGAACGCGGACACCCACCTCCGCCGGCCGCGCGCCGCACTTCCGCCCGCCCGCGCTCCCCCACCCCACGCTTCCGCCCGCTTGTCCGCACTTCCGCCCGCATTTCCGCCCGGGCTCTCTGCTTTCCAGTCGGGTCCCAGTCCCAAGGTCTCGCTCAGGGTGGCTCCTGGGCCAAGAAAATAGGGGTGACCCACAACCAAAAGCTGACTGTGAATAAGAAAGCTTTAAAAATAAAAATAAAGGAAACAAGAGGAGAGAGGAAAGCTGGGGAGACGATTGAAAAATTAGAAAAATGGCCCTACTTTTGTGCAACCAAATGTTTGATGATCAGTGTCAGATGTGGGAACTGACTTTTGGGCGACACTGCAGTGTAGGCCTGAACCTCTGAACCTCTCACTGCATGCGTTAATTAATGTATGGTCCATTTACTGTCCTTGTTTCCGGCCAAACTAGCTTATAGGGAATAGAACGGTCAAAACTGGTAGGCATGATCTCTCCAAATGTAAAAATCGGGTAGACTAGGCAGTTCTTAGGAACTTAACCTTTAAATAGGTCATGCATCTTTTTCAGCGAAGTGCTTTCTTCGAAGGGGAGTCATATGATATGAAGAATACAGCAGGAGTGTGATCTAGTTGAAGAGATAGCTTTTGGACTGGGATGTGAAGGGTCTGGGCCCAGGACAGAGCTCCAGGACTGATCAGTGTGGCTGAGACATAGAAGGCTTGGAGAGAAGGTAAGCCTCAGCCAGGCCAAGTAGCGAGGAACACACAGCCTTTCAGATTTGTGCTAAGGGAAGCTGGGGATTTTCTGTCCCTCTTTCTGTTTTACTCTTTCTGTCCCTGTCAGGAGTGGATTGGGCTAAACACTTTTCTGTTTTTGAAAGGATCCTTCAGTTTTGGGAAGGAGATGAGAAGGGTTTAGAATTGGCAGGAGTGGAACAAAAAGGAAATGTCAGGAGGCAATCAAGCAGTCCAGGTTGCAGACATGGTGATTTAAATGTTGGAATTGTAGATAGTGAGAAAATGATGAATGATAATTATAATACTTAAAACTAATATTTATTGATTGCTCGAGGTTATACAATCATTAACAAGTTTAATCCTGAGAACAATCCTAATAAATATTATTAATACCATTTGCAGCTGAAAAAAATGGAGGCTTAATAACTTGTCCAAATTCTAATAATTAAAAAATGGAGTGTTGGAATTGTATCCTATGCTGTCTGCTGCCAGTATTCATGGGCTTGTCACTATATGCTCAATGTGTATTCTGTGACTTCAAAAAAGATCTAAAACAAACCAAAGTCAGCAATGAATCCCTTAGTAGAATTTTGAAGTTGATACTTTTATCAATCAGTAGTTGCTGGTAGTTTAAAGAGGGGATTTTTGTGACTGTAAGCAGATTACTTATGGTTATTTTTGAGTTCAAACACTCAAAAAGACCTATTATTTCAGGGGAAAAGTCACTTAACCTAACAGTTTCACATTTTTAAAGAAATAATCTTGGGTATAGTTATAAATACCTTGGTAAAAGCATGCATGACTTATACTTTGTGAAGCAATAAAAAAATTCGTAGAAATATAACTCCAGGGAACCTTTAAAATCCCATTTCTCATTGGAAAATGAAACTTTATAAAGTCCATTGGACTTAAAAACAAGATTTCACAAGCTGAAAGAAAAGACTGGCTTCACCAATGACCAACAATTCTGAAGGCTTTTTACTTGATTATTTATAAATTTCTTTGATTTGTTTATGTTGATAATTTGAATTAGAAAGAATTTGTTAGCTTTTTACATGATGGCACATGTCTGGAAAGCTTCATATTATTTCAGTTGAAGCTACCGGTAGGATAGATACTGTGAAAATGGAATAAACCTATTCAAAAGGAAGGAATTACTG